GGGGGGGGGGGCGGCGCCGTGTCTCGGTAGCCCTACGGCCGGAGTGCTGCTATTCCACCAAGAGCCGGAGGCGAACAACTCCCCGCCCCGACCGCGAGCTTTCTGGCGAGAGGACTGGCTTGCGGAAAGCAGGGGTGGGGGAGGGAGCCGACCTGGCACCAATCAGTGCCTCGAGGGCGATAATTTCCGGGGATGTCTCGACGGTGGCAGCGGCGGCAGCACACCCCAGCGCCTTGCGAGAGGCTGTACCTCGCAAGCCGCGAGCGCTTCCGGCGCGGCCGGCAAAGTTACCTACGGAATACCATCCGCCGACAGAGGGGGGACTGAGCAGCGAGTTACCGGGCGCAAGGACGAGGGAGAACGGGTCGGGGTGTGCGGAAGCGGTGGCCACGACAGCAGCAATAGTGCCAATAGCGGCGAAACCGCCACTACTGTTGGTAGCGGAAGAGGAGGCGTGTCCGCCGCGGGGTTCGCTCTCCTTGTCTCGGTGACCGTCGCCGCCTTCGCCGTCGGGAGCTGGGTGGGGCCTCCTCACCGACAATGCCCGCCCCCGGCGCCACCACCACCACCACCTCCACCATCGCGGCCGCCGGAAGGATGTGCCACGGCGCCCCCGCTTCCATCGCACCAGGAGTACGAGCCCACGTTGCAAGAGATGATGCGCGTCAAGAGAGGGCGAGCGGCTGCGATGAAGGAGGTGGGGCGGGCACAGCCGGCGGCGGCTGGAGGGGGGGAGCGCCATGTGGCCGGGGCTGGGGCTCGAGAGAAGAGGAGGGCCGACGGCACGGAGGGTGCCGAATTGGACGCGGCAAATGACTCCGCAGAGGTAGTAGCCGGCTCGAACACGGGTGCGATACCGGGGTCGTCGGATGCATGCGGAGAAGGCTGCCGGGCGGGCTTGGCAACGGGCGGCGACGGCGTTCCTTCCCCCGGCGGCAAACGGAATCCCTCCGTCGCAACGGCAGCGAGACAGGTAGAGGGGGGGGGTTCCCCGGTGGCAGTGGGTGGTGCAGAGGGAAGCACACCGGAGGCGGGGACGGCGGCACCGGCGGTTTCTCCTCCGGGGACGAAGGAAGACCGCAGCAGCGGTTCCGGCAGTCGCAAGGCTGCTTCCACTAACGCGCAGGCTCCGCCGCCGCTGCCGCCGCTCAAGATGCCGAACCGCAAGTTCTTGATGTCCCGCACCTCCAGAGACGAATCGACCACCAACCGTAGACGGCGGCGGCGATCGGGGGGGGCGGATGTCGGGGTGACCCCTGCCGCTTTCGCCCGGACCCTCGGGTCGGCGGAGAGCAGCTTGGCCGGCTTCCGCAGCAGCGGGGACGACGAGCAGGCCGCTCGCGCGGCCGCCCGGCGCGAGGCCATGTCCAGGAGCGCCGCGCGCGCGGCGTGCGAGTCGATGGCTTGGAGCGAATCCGGAAGCTTCGCGGGGTCCGTGAGAGGCCGCCGTGGGGCAGGGGAGGACGATGACGACGGCTGCAACACGGACGCGGCGTGGAGAGACGCTGGGAGGGAGGCGGTGATGGGGGCATCCTCTTCTTCTGCTGCGGGTGGAAGCACTGAGGACGGAGACGGGGCCTCTGCGGGGGGGGAGGTCAAAGATGGCGCCAGCGCGGCGGCGGGGGGGGGGGGGGCACCAACGCGCAGGCGAAGCACGGCGGATTTTGCGAGCGTCTCACGCGGCCAGGAGACAGAGCAGCGTGACGCTGAGCGTTCACGGGCTGGTTGCAGCGGATTGCTGCTATCGGGTAACGACATCCAAGCATCGTGGGCGGGACGGTACACCCTCGTGGGCGACGACGAGGATGATGATGAGAGAGACGCCGGGCGAGAAACTCTTGACGCGAGAGCGCCGCACTACTACTGCCTAGAAACGCCCCGATCGCCTCGTGATGCCGTCGCCGAAGGGGACGGTCAGGTTTCATCGCCGCATGGTTCTTCGGGCGATCGAGGAGACGAGCTGCTGTCACCGCGACAAGGCCCTTCGAGAGGGGAAGGGCGGCCACCAGCGGCACAGGCAGTCTCCTCAACCCGCGAGTTGGGTCTCCCGCAGGTCGCGGACGGCGGGACGTTGTGCCTGTACTGGTCCGAAGCCGACGGCGGCCGCTGGGTTCTCGACGACGACCTGAGGCTCTCCAACGGAGTGCTCGGCGTCACGGAGGACCCCGCTCCTCCGGAAGCCGACCTCGCGTTTCTCGACCAGCGACATCGCGGCAGTCCGCCGCAGGCAGGCGCTGCTAGTGAGGACGAAGGCGGTGCCGGAGACGCGGACAGAGGACGGGGAACTCGAAGCGGGTTTGCTGGGGAGGGCGAAGGCGGTGCTGGAGACGGGGGCGCCGTTGAGAGAGAACGGGGAACTCGAAGCGGGTTTGCTAGTGAGGACGAAAGCAGTGCTGGTGACGGGGCCGCCGTTGAAAGAGAAGTCGGATTTGCTTGCGAGGAGGAAGTCTCCGTTGAGTCAGGAGGCACAACCGTTGGGGGGCCGGAAGGCGCCGCGGGCGGCCGGGCACTAGAGTCGTCGATGGAAGCGGCGCACCGGGCGTGGTTGCTGGACTCTCCCCGGCTGCGAGGGTGGGTGAAGGCCGATGACATGGTGGTCGTGTGTGAGACCGAATGATAACGAGTGTGGAGATGCAACAGCAGGGCCGCTTCTTTTTTATGCCGTATCAGGACACGCCGGGAGTGGCGGTTGACCCATGCTAGGCGCGATGATCGGGGTTACGTCGTCTTGAGCGTTGGGTGGGATGGGGGCCGCACGGATGGTGATCACGGTAATCCTAGCCCTAATTAATTTTAACCCTGTCGTAATAAAACGTTTGCCGTGGGTCTTTCTTGTGCGAGGAAGCGGTGTTGGCAGTGCGGTAACATGGTTTGTGTATAATTGTGGAGTAAGGGTTTTTAATGTGAAGGCAACATCAACAACAACTAAGGGTTTGTTGTGTTTTTGCTGATGCCGTGATGTCATTCGGGAGTGATAGTAAAGATATAATCTTCATTCTAGTCTAAGTCGTGCATGACACCGATTCGAGTACTACTATTTATAGATTGATAGTGGTACTGCTGCAAAGGTTGCGTTAAGGGTGGAACGCCTTTCATCGGTCGTTTCCACACCACCACACCATGCCTACTGTCGGCTGCCTTCTCGGTCGAATTGTTTATCGATTGCGCACGAGACTCGTTGGCGGGCGCGTGCGACGTTTGTCTCGTGTGACGACCTTGAGGCGCGTGAGATGACAGGGTGGCGTGTCGCTGGTGGTATTGATCTTGCTGGTGGTGATGGTGTCATCTTTTCCGTTATGCTACGATGAACCCAGCACTCTGCCTGCCGGTGGTACTCGCGTATTGGTGGTAGTTGTGTTGCTGCTGCTGCTGCTGCGGCTGCTGCTGCTCTTGTGCTTTATTGTGCGAAGGGCGTCTGTGCTGGTACGTACGTGAATGTTCATGTCGTGCCTCACGCTGGTTGCTGTCAACTGGTTGTGGCATGTGTGGTGGGTCATTGTTGCTCTCATGCATCCCGGGGAGCATCGAGGTCTCGCCAAGGCCTGCCCCTCTCGCATGCGGTAAACCATCGTGGCCCCAAGCATGTTGTGGAGAATTGTCATTGAGACTTTCTCCCTGCTGCCTTGGTTGTTTGGACGCCGACTACTTTGCCCCACTACTTAACAGTATATCACAGATGCATCTGTACGTGGCGGGCTGCGGTATTTTGTTTTTTTTTTTCAGTTCGAGTCAGTCGCAATCTGGCGGGATTTTTTGTCGTGGCTGTGCTTGTGCAGATAAACCCCGACGCGCTATGTACGACGGCGCTGTCGTTTTTTGTTTCACCGGGGTGCACCTATTGCTGTTGGACAGGAGTGTACTCCGCGATACGATAGAGATTGTGCCTGTGGTGATGGTTGTGCTGCACACAATGTGCGCCCGTTGTGTGTTGTGCTATAATAGCACCCTCATGCTCTTGTGACGTCGTCATCCTTCTTAGAAATGTACCATTCCAAGTGTTGTGCGAGGACTCCGTTCCTTTTCCTTGCGTCCTGTGATGTTTTGTTTCCACTTGTGGGTCTTTTTTCGCATGTATGCATAGGAGTGAGTGTCGGTCGATGGAGTGTGGCGGGATCTTGTATGGGATAGGTTTTATTTTAAGGGTTCATTGTGTTTGGGTGTCCCGAGCGTGGTGTCGGTCGTGTCATGTGGGTCGGTCTTACCTTCGTACCCCGAGAGAAATTAAGACTATAATACATTCCCCCGCTTCGTGGCTTATTACTCAATGGTTGGGAACGGTGGGAAGAACTGTTTCATGTTGAATGATTATGATTTCTGGTCCGGGTTGCGTTTGGATTGGAGAAAAATATCCAGGAATGGATGCTACTAGCTGAGGCGAACAGGCCAAGTTTTGGGCCATACTTAAAGGGCAACGAGTGAAAGAAAAGATGAACGAGAGACAGAAGCCGTGTAACCAAGAACCAATTTTGGTTTTCTCCCAGAAAAACACTCGCGCGGTGAACTGCAGCAAACTAATTTGACCTAGACAATGTGTAGCTTAGTCCGAGACCCAGGCTTGACACTTGAGGTGATTTTTTTCCCTGAGACCCTTGATGCTCTTGGCCAGAGCATGTGTGACGGAGAGACTCGTCTGAGACCCTGGAACATTCTGCAGGACGTGGGTGACGAGGGATGAAGCGAAAACGAAGTAATGGTTGATTGGATGATGGATAGCAGCGCTGGCGAGGGGAGTCACCCTCCTCGGACGTCAAAAAGTGTAGGGGCTGCGAACCCCACGAACGACGATGAATTTTATTGAGGCCGAAATCAAACCTTTTGACTTGTCTGAGCTGATACTCTATCTGATGGTATGGTTTGATTAACTTCGGCTTATAAAAACTTCGTTTCCGCGACACATGGTCAAACGTTAAAACATGGCGCTGCCCAGTCGTACCTCGAGCACGACTGCACGGTACCACTATGTAGTGTAAGGTACGCTTGGTGCCCGCCCACATAGCATCGCACACAAGACACTACGTAGATGTTGCGTCCAGGCTATGTAGTATCTTGTTTCACTGCCACCATGGGATGCCGTAGACCTTAGAGCCTTAGGAGTGTGTTGTGTGCCTGTCCGGCCCACCACCGTCAACCAACCAAACAGAACCGAAGATCACACGAGGTGACTATTCCCATAACCATATCGTCGACGGCACGGTAAAGAAAAGGACGTCTCAACCACCAAATGGTAAGAAAAGACAGACCGCGCACGGTTTGCTTGCTGTTCGCCTTCTTGACTAGACACACGAGGATAGGATAGGGTATTCAGATTTGACAAGGGTAACCTGAACACCCCTTTTGGCAGAAAGCACTGCCATTTCTTACGAAAAAACAAAAGTCCGGAGTAGGCTGGTGTTTGCATCGCAACACGCTCGTCAGCCGCAGCCTCTTCGTCTGCCATGACAAGAGCTTCAAAAAACAGCCTACAACTCTAGACTAAGCCCGCGATGCTATCGTGACAAACTGGCCTACAGGGACCCTTGCTTACAACGTGTAGAAAATCCGCAGCAAACCGCCATTTCCCGGACCACAAAAGCAACCAAAACGTAGCAGTTGTAGCAGATGGAGGAAAGATACTCGCCATTGATCGTTCCTTGCTAGAAAATCGAGCACCGCAACCACCGAAAATGAAGCAGACTAACCCTGGGCTCTTTACCCATGACAGGGATAATATTTCCAGGAATCTTATTTGCTTAAAAAAAACAAGAAGCAAAATACATGAGGTGGCTCCTGCGTAGCCGGCTTTATGTTGCATGGACGAAAAACAAAATACACAGCACGAAGTCTACATATCTCTCTCTAAAAAAAAAAAAACTACGCCGATGCTTGCATTGCAGACCCCTTGCGGGCTAGGAGGGTGGCCGCAAGGGCAGCAGCGAAGGCGGGGAAGAAGTCGTCCAAGCTGCCTCCGTCAGACTCTCGGGCTTGGCGCAAAAAAGAGTTGTAGGCCAACACCCCGGACGCGATCATGAAGCAGGCGGGGAAGGCCCCCTGCTGCAGCTGTTCCGCCGCCGAAAAAAAATACGTCCCAAGCAAGAAGAACGTAGATGCGGCGGGAAAGCGAGAAACGGTTCCGAAAAAGGAAAGTTAGGAACAAGATCATTCAAGGGAGTTACTTAAACGGGTGCATGAATCGAGAAGCGAGATGTCCTGTGCGAGCAGGCTCTGCACCCTACCCATTTTCTCGACCATCTGCGACGCCCCCCTGGTGTGGTTAAGAAGGTGGTTATATCCCCTCTTCCGCTACATCCACAGACATACGACCTATACCACCACCAACAGCAACTTGAAAGACAGCAACAACCCCAGCAACAGCAACAGCAACAGCAACAGCAGCAATAACAAAAACAATAACAACGGCGACAGGTTTGACAACACTGTGGGACAACCAGGTCAGAAAAACAACATCAGGCATGTAAAAAAAAAGAGAGGAAGACACAACGGAACCGAACTAGCGAAAACGATCTTTCTATCACGATAGAAACAAGTCCGACGCAAGAAAGCACGCGACAAAAAAATACCCCTCAGCTTGCCGGACAGCATGTCCAACAACTTTAACAACAGTACGTCACAAATACGTGCGATGAGATGAAACGATCACTCACGTTGCGAGGCCAGACGCCCGGCCCATTCACCAGTGCAAGAACCAGCACTACGACAACGAGTACGCCGAGAGCCACGTGCCTGCGGCAGGGAACGGGAATAGTCCAGAGGAAGCAGTGAACAAATCACATGGGCTGTCTGTCCTCTTGCCTTTGTTGTTGGAGGTGGTGTCGTCGGTGTGGTAGTTTTTTTGTTACTGAGAAGAAGGCAATCGCAATCGCAATGGCATTGGCAATGGTGAAACGACGAAGGTGCCGCTCAGGCATGTCAACACTCTCGCACACAAACACCAAAAAGGCCCTATACTTGACAAAAAAAATGCTACAATACTTTCCATCTGAAAAAAACGTGCGTCAGTTTGTGTTGCCCGTGTGTTGTTGACGATAGACGTCGTTCATATTCTTGTTGGATTCACGCATAGGAGCACTACGTGTTGCACACACAACGCGTTCCTCGTGGTGTGATTCGTTCCTCGTGGTGTGATTTGGCTCACTCTCTCTCGTGATGTGATTGGCTCACTCTCTCTCGTGATGTGATTGGCTCACTCACAGCTGCTCGGTGACGACGTCCTTGCCCTTCTCCAGGTATAGCATCTTGCCGCCGCCGGCAGCCCCTATCCCCGCGGCAGCCTTCTTAGCAGCATCTTTCGCGGCCTTCTTTAGCTGCGCCTGGAGAGCAGCGACACACACACACACCACGGTGTGGGCGGTGACGGCCGTTGTAGCAAATACCATAGGCAAATGGTCTGTTGTGACATTTTAGTCCTCTGTTACGGGGAAGACGGGTACATGGCTGGCGCACCCTCTTGGCGCCGACAGCAAAATCATGGCGCTGAGTGCTTAGAACAGGACGGGCGGCCGCGATACAATAGGGTGGGTGAATCGGCCTGACACATTTTATGTACGCAGCCTACACTTAGAGAGGCCACAACTGAGTTTGTTGTTGCTTGTCGTCGTCGTCGTCGTCGTTGTTGTTTTGAAGTCGTCATGTCTTGTGTCCAGCGTACCACCTCACCTATGTCCTAGGACTACAATATTAATAGGGTGAGTTCGGTGTAGTTGGTAGTGTCGATAGCAACAGCAGGGGCAGCATCGACAACCTCAATCGACGGCAACACCCGTGACAACACCATCACCAACAAAAACACCAACAAATACAACACCAACACCAACAACAACAGCAACAAAAACAACAACAACAACAACAAGAACAGTGACGGCAACAACAACAACAACATAAACATCAACAACAGCAACTGCAACAAGAACAGTGACGACAATAAAATACGACGCGTGACGCACCTTGGTGAGGTTCTGCGGCTGTTCCACCTCGTCGGCGACGAGCCAAGAAATGGTGAGAGCAGCAAGCGCCACCACGGGAGCGATGACAGACAAGCCCAGCTCGCCCCCCGATGCCGCCAGCTACAGTACACGTGACGTCAAACCATGTGATTCCATGCCATACCATGTGATGTCGCACACACGTAAAACGGGTAGGGATTGCGGTTAAAGAGCGACATTCTTGAGAGGGAGAACTTCAGGGATTCAAGAGGGACCACTTACGGGAAACCAATTGAGGGATTGACGGGACTATTTAAAAGAGAAAGCAACGAACAGATGAAAGAGAGACTGGCTGCTTGGGAGGAAGCAATTGAGGGACTGAAGAGGGTAAAGCCGCTTATCCCGGTCATGAGAGACAGCATGAAAAGCAATAGACGCTACAAGAGAAGGCCGGGTTTTAAAGAGAGTTTTCGCTGACTTGACACGACCCTCTCTTAAACCGCAGCCGCGACTGGGATACGCACCAATACTGTAGTGTACTGTACTGCTGTTGTTATAAGGGGATGGTGGTGTTGTATTCTTCGTGAACAAGAAATTCCAATGTTGCGACAACAGCAGCAGTGCCTCAAGTGGTCACCAGGAGACCATCGACAACCAAAAACAAATATCGAGGGCCAAGCTTCGCGTGACTCAGAGCCGTGCCAGCCGCAGCAGGTTACGTAGCCAACACAACACTGGGAAAACACGAAAAAAAAACACTACATAGTCCAAGAACAGAAAAGGTGTACCTGTCCGCGGTAGGCCACCCAGGAGCAAGCCACCACTGCTAGCACCGCAGGAGCCCAGGCCGTCAGTCCCCCGGGGTAGCCCATCATGTCCAGCAACCTTGAGAAGCACATTGAAGGTGTTGATTTTTGGCGAGCAGCACAGCGACAGAGGGGGGCGTTAGGTGGCACGAGTGCATTGACACACCGAGAAAGGGAGAAGTGCTACTATTCGGCGGCGGCGGGGGGGGGGGGAGGGGCACGGAGATTGTTCGGCGAGAGAAAGGCACGTGTGTGGCTTGGGTGGCAGAGAAACAGCAGGGGTGGGAGTTGAAGGGAGGCAGCAGATGTTCCTACATATGGGTTCATGCCGAAACGCAATTGGCAACATGCGGTCACAAGTGTGGGACAGTACACGGTGATCGCACCGGTTCCCATGAAAGCTCTTAAGCGAAACCACATGGGGCATGCAAAGATGAAGAGTAGTCTATGCCACACGTTAACGCTGGCGTTCATTGTTCCCCCTCTTTTCCACTCTATCCACCAAGACAACGCCCATATTGCCTAACCTCTGCCCGCCGCTACAACTACCGTATATGACACAAGATAACACACTCCCTGGACCGATTTTCAAAGCTCGATTACTCCACGACGAAGAGGATGCATAAACGAAACGATACGTTTTCGAAAAGCTCTCGACGAGACGGTTCCAACGTCGCCGTTTTCGGCGCTGTGACTCTTCCTGCTGTTGAGAAATCGAGCTTTGAAAATCGAGGGGGTGTGTTATCTTGTGTCACATTGAAGGTAGGTAGCCTGGCTAGTAGTCGACACTGCTTAGGAATCACTGCCTTTCCCTCCGCCTCGCCGCGCTACTGCTGTACTACTGCTATACTACTGCTGTACTTACGATGTCTGCAAGAACCACCACGTGCCGCTACAGTACAACAGCAGAGCGCCCCTCTTTCGCCTCGGCGACATTTACATACTTACTTGAATCCCTCGGCTATTATTATACCACCTTTACAAGGCATACCTGCAACAGGCAGAAAAAACACAAGTATCCCCCCCCCCCCGAGTCAAATACCTACTACCTTCACCAAGCATGTAGATGCGCTTAAGTAGCGGCGTTCGACTCTCACATCTCGTGGCAGGCCAGGGATCCGACGAAGGTGAAGAACGCCGCAGGAAACACCCCCTTAGACATGCACGCCGGTTGGAGGGGCTCGCCGCGGGACTTGGTCTGACATGACATGACATGCACGATGACGTTGCAACGTCGCCCGTCATGTACATGGACACGGACAGCCAATGGCCGGCGAATCGACCGGTGATATTCAGAGGGACCGGCGCTATTCAATGTACAGAATAACTTGGTAATTTTAGTCTGTGAGATACGATCATGTACAGGGTGTGTTTGGTACGACTATAATAGCACTAAATCCTAGGTATACGGTGGTATGCATTGTATGCATCTAAGGTATTTGCAAATAAATAACACATGTTATGAACTAAAGTACGCTGAATCCCCTACAAATATCCCTGCCCCCCTCCCGGATTTGGCCCTTGACTAGCTAATCCAGTTTAGGGCAGTGCTTCCAACACTTCATGCTCTCTTTGGTGGACGGTGGGGGGCCCTGCAGCTGTGGATTGTTTGTCGAGAGGGCTCACGTCGTGCCGCCGTCGCGGCAGAAATCCCGCCCTACTGTACTGCTGATGAAGTTCGTCTCAAAGTTGGTTCAAGGATGGGAGAAAGATGATGAGGACGAGCTTGTGTTTTTGGATGAAATTGAACTGGTTTGGTGCTGCGACGGCAGGTTGACTTTCTGCCCTGCTCATCATCGTCTCAGTCACCCGCGGTACATTTTGTTCGTTTTAGCGTTTTGGCGAGTCGTACGATATGTACACTGGTCTACGTGCGTTTGCTGCAGGGGTTGTACGAGGTAGAACACGGCAGCCACGCAGAAATTACAGGGACTTATATCCTGCCCACTGTAGTTACCGTTTTACTGTGACTACCCCGTCCTACATCACAAGGGATACGTAGGAGGTCAGGCTTCGCCGAACGTCAACCAAACTGCCAAGGGTTGTACCACCGGCGTCGTAACATCCATTCCAAGACATTTTCGACCAGAACAAACTCGCCGTAAACATGACTATTGTAACGAGTTAGTTGTGGCTGAGGTACATTAATGGCTAGCCTAGGTTCTCACAGAACGGAGCGTGGGGTACACGTATAGTCAACACGTTGGTGGCGGTGTTTGAATTGTACAAGTAAAATGGTTTGCGCTTGTCGAGGTGCCCATGTTGCAGCAACAAGTTTCCGCAGTCTACAGTAGTGTGGTACATATCGACTTTCATGTTTACGTCATCGAATCGGCAACCAGCACCGCCATGTGTGGGCATAGCATGCCAAGACGTCAACAGCCAGGGTTCTCGCAGGCACTACGCCTCATTGGCCCTTTCACGAAGCACAAGCCAAGTAATGCCGCGGTCGGAAGCAGCACGGTTGCTGTCAAAAGATTGGTGTAGCAGCAAGTGTCCCACGTCCTACTGCTGTAGATGCTCGAAAAAACTCACCACGAAAGCGCGGTAGATGATGAACAGGGTCACCCCACCAGCAGCGTACATCGGGAAGTCCGAGTTCAGGAAGTCCGTTTCATTCCTAGCCCCCATGATGAACGGCACGCCTAACCCCAAGCGACAGAATAGGCCACAGCTGACAGCAGGTAGCAGGAGGTGTGATGTCATGTAAACCTGTAAACCTGTGGAATGGGGCCCCGCTGTCAGCAGTACCACCTCCCTTCAATATTTCGGAGCGATCCACGCAACCCCCTAGGCAGCCCGAGGAGCAGCAGTGACACAAGAACAGCGCACTGAACAGCCCACCCCAGTGCGGCAGCGGGCAGCGGGGTGCGTCCGACCGCATATCTCGCATTGGAAAATCTTCGCGGTTGGGTTGACACCGCAAGGAGAGTTCAAGAGCGCTCGAGAGATGGACGAATACAGCGAGTTCGCCAGCGACGACTTCGACGTGAAAGGATGGATCAATGCTACGGTAGCTAGTCATCTGCAGCTGCAGCAGCAGGCCGCCGTGGGAACAGGGACCGGTAGCAACGGCTCGCTCTCGGCGGAGCACGTTCGTCTGTCTTCGTCGAGTGCTCAAAGGTGAGAAAGGTCCGCCTGGTTTGCTTGATGAGTTGCAGCATTGTTCTTAGTCATTGTTCCGGTGCTGCTGCTGCTGCTGCTGTTGTGGCTACTCTGTCCAAACAGGGTCGCCATTGCCTAGCAGGGCATTGATGTAGGCAGGCAGAATGGTTGTATGTTCTCCGCGCAATAGCCTATAGTGTGGCTGGAGAGCGTGTCGACTATTCCTCACAATTGCAAGTCGCTTGCATCTAAATACCTCCCACAACAGCTGTAGAAACTGTAGCTTATCGGATTTTGGACTTTCTCCGCAAATAGTAGTCAATGCATGCGGTTTCGTAGGACAACATGAGCCGAGAGGGCATTGGACGCTGGCGATGACTGACTGCTGTTTGAGGGGGAGGGATGCTGTACCCTTGAAAGGAAATCCTTTCTTTCCACCGCCAAGCTTCATCCGCGTCGCGTGCACAAACGGGAGCGCTTGTTCCGCGTGGGCGAGCAGGAGCAAGAACAAGCACACAGGAACGGAGAAGGCCATTGCGATGAGTGGATAGAGAGGGAGAGGGGATTCGGCAGCCAAGCGGTACAGCCAAAGTCGTCCCCAAACCTGGGGATTGTGGTACATGTGTAGTTGATCGTTCGTGAGATTGAAGCACTGCTGTTGCTACGTGGACGTGATGCGCCTGTCGGCGGGAGTGTGCGCTCAAGACAGACAGGCAGACAGACAGAAAATCCTTATGTATACTTGTGAGACCAAGAACAACGTATGCATACGATACAACAATGGCCTCCCCTATTTGGTGTGCTTTCCCTGACCTCGTACCACTCTCCCTCCCCTCGTTCCGCCTCTCGACGTCACCCCCACTTTCACACTACTGCAATAGCAGCAGCCTAGACACGCACCTGTCCACCGTAGCCACCAAGCTGCAGGCGGTGTCCGCGACCATCAACGCGGGGCTCGAGAAGAGCATGGTGGAGATCATGGTGTCCGTCCCGCGTGTGGTAACCGAGGTGGATCGAGTGGAGGCTGCCATCAAGACCCTCAACGGCGAGCTGATCAACCTGTCGGGCCAGGTGCGCGAGAAAACCTCGTAGGGGACGTGACACAAGATACCACACCCCCAGGACAGATTTTCAAAGGTCAATTTTTCCGCAGAGGGGCCGCGCCCGAGAAAGGCAGCGTTGAAGTCGTCTCATCTATGAGAGCTTTTCGAAAACGTTATCGTTCCATGTGTACGCATGCTCTTCGTCGTGGAGTAATTGGGATTTGAAAATTGGTCCAGGGTGGTGGTATCTTGTGTCACCGACGGTAGCCCGGCTGCGATATTAGACACACCTGCGGCATTGGTGGTACAGTAGTCTTGACCTTCTACCCCGCAATGTCAGCGACGTCGTGTCCTTTCTGGATGTGATGTGCATCATACACCATACGGCCCTTGGAACTTATTATACCCCGTGGGTTGTGAAGAGTTGGGCGACAACGGTTGCCGTTTCTAATCTGTGTAGCTTGCTGTTGGTCCAAGACTTGCTCTGGGTGTTCGTTTTTTTGTGCTTGAATACCGTTTCTGATTGGTAACTGCGACACATAACAACGATCGTTGATGCTGATGCTGCTGCTGCTACTACGATGATGATGATGATGTTGCCACCGCCGCTGTTGCTGTTGCTGTTGCTGTTGATGATGGTGATGATGATGATGTTATTCTTGTATCAGCTGGAATCGATCGACCACGGCGCGAACGCCCACGTGGAGACCCTGGCGAGGCTAGACCTCGTGAAGACCAACATGGGGGACTGCTTGCACACCCTCACCGAAGCTGCTTCTTGGAACGCTTTGGTGCGCGAGGTTAACGCCAGGTACTGCTGCTCTAATTAGTACTGTAGTACCGCGGTACTGCCTTAGTGCTATAAGCCGGCCGTCGAACCCTGCTATGATATGCACCCGTCCGTTTCACTCGACGATTGGCGCAGTAAAGAGTTGGTTGTAGGCTGCAGAGCAACAATCGCTCTTTTTCCGTCTCCGACAGTAAGCGTATTGATATTGATAGGTTTGTGTCTTGCTTGTATAGTCTATAATCGTGCATAGATACGCAAGCAGAGTGCTTTTGGGGGTAGGTTCGGCCTGTTCACCTTCCCCGGACCACCTTTTGACATGTGTTTTGGTGCCGGAGGTGAAAATCCCCACCTCCCCCCTCCCCCCCAAAAAACCCGACGGGCTTGACAAGTTGTTCTCGCGCCTCGCGGTAGGTGCACACGAGACAGGTATTTTTCAGCTTTGAACCATTCTTATATGGGAGCATGGGTGTGGGCATGGTGCCTTTTTGCCCTTGTGTTGGGGGCTAGACCAGCTCGTCCTTCGTGTTGGCAGCTTCCGCTCTGCCGTAGTTTGTGCCTTCCTGAGCACATGCTAGTTTCCCATCGATGAGCTCAGGATACAACCTTTTTTAGGGCTTTTTGTGACATCCTCCATCATTCCTTCCAGTGTTGGGAGTTGTTGCTGACGACAACCACATCAGCAATAAAAAAGAGCAATGGCCATCATTAAGCAGGATATTTGCGACAAGTGTAGAACACCAACACGGTGTAACGACAAGAACAAAACGATAAATTTGGCAGTTTCGGCCAAGACGACTTGAAGGGCGTGGCGCAGCGGCTAGAGGCCATGGCCGGTAGCATGGACGTCTTGAAGGACATGCCGGAAGCTGAGGACCGCGCCGCTACTCTCAGAGACCTGCAGGAGCGGCTGGAGACGCTGCTGAAGCCGAAGCTGCTCGAGGTGAACAAGCCGGAAACAAGATTAGGTTCGCGGTGTTGATGTGCTATATAGTAGCGGTGTCAGCTAGCAGCACAGAGAAGGAGAGAGAGAGTTGCCAACAAACTGATAAGTAGTCAGTCGCGTTTGGAGGAGTGTGGTAGGAGAAGGTGGTTGATGAAGCAGTTTCATAGCAGGGGCGTGGTCAACTCGAATCATAGCTTTACTTTCCCGCAAACTATATACCCCGTTCCTTGGCAACCAGTACTCTTTCGACGAGATGGGGACCATTCGGATTATCCTAGCTGCCCCTATATTTAACAAGACAGTAGTCCCTTAGATGCTATATATCGCTGGCGTCTTCTCTGTTTGCCCCTCAAGCCGCTCTCCCCTCCCAACAAGAAACCACCGTTTTGCACACAGCTGTTGTATTTCTCTCACCAACCGTTTCCTCCTGAATCCCCCCCCGTCTCCAGCACCCTCAACTAGAGCTCACGGCGACTTTCATAAGGTCATCTTCTTCTCTTGGCTTCGTCTCTACCCCCCCCCCCCCCAACTTTACGAGTACATACCGCCGCTTTGATATTGTCAACATCTATCCCCCTCCCTTGCACGCAGATCGTGAAGAAAGACCGCATGGGTCCGTTGATGGAGTACGCCGCCATGTACCGCCAGCTGGGCCGTACGGACGTCTTCAGGGCGGAGTACTGCAGCACCAAGGCCGCCGCCGCGCACAAGCGCTGGTTCGCGTCGGCAACAAGTTCCGGTTCGGAGGGGGGCACCACGAGCAGCGGGCTGGCTAACTGGCTGCCATCGTTCCTGGAGTACTTGCAGGTGATAACATCGTAGCCGTGGCGGTGGCGGTGGCGATGGTGATCGTGTGTCTCCATCGATGATATATATTTGCATTGTTTTGGTGGCGTGATGCTGTTTGAAATTGTGTGTCGCTGTTGGGGCTGTTGGTAATGATGGAGATTAGGTTTTTGTTTTGGGGGTGGGTTTCTATGTTTATGTGGCCGTTATTGTGAGTGTTTCAGTCTCCACCGTGTTAGTGTCCAAGTTGTCTTGACTGGCTGTGTTAGCTATGTCGAAAGTTTCGTCTGTTCTCCGTCGTAGATGGGGTTCCGCTGTCTCGGCTCTACCGAACCACACACCCTAAGACCCAGCAGTGAAAATCAGACGTCTCCACCCACCTTCTCAATGTTCACACACCGCATCGCTAATGTGCGACCAATCCTTCCCTCTCTATCACCTCCAGACACACGTACCTTCCTTAGGTGCGCTTTTGGTTTGTGCTGGACCTTTTCGGGGATTGGGCACGGGGCGGGAATAGGTGGTTTGATTTGGTGTCATCGGAGTTGGACGTGCGAGGGAGCGGACGGGTACCATTCGCTTAGCTTCATGTCTTTCCCCCCCCACCCCTCCCTCTCGCTCGCTCGCTCAGGGATCGTTGATGGACGAGCGCAAGAAGACTTCGGACTTGTTCGGTGGCGATACCTCCCCCGCGGTGCTCTGCCAGCTCGTCGTGGTGGCCTTCCAGCCCCTCTTGGGATCCTTTCAAGTGAGTCGTGGGTCGGTGGGCGTCGGAAGCATGCACAGACGCGACGCTCGTTGAATGCATGTTTCAGGCACTACCCCCGTCAGAGACCGTGTTCCTCGAATGCGTGTGTCTACGTCACCCAACCTTGCTGTTACCACTCCTGCTCTCCAGTTGATCACATGCACCACACACGCCCCTGTATGGCCCCCTCCTTGTCTCTAGCAACATATTAGAGGTAGCTCTTTGGGCGCCGGCCCAACGGGGAATCTTCCCTGCTGCTCTCCAGTTAATCCTTGAACACATGTACCTCCTCGCACCTCTCGATTTCACCTCCTACTGCCCATTGCGCCCTTGAACACTTGTACCTGACCTCTCCATGACCACTTCACATCCTCTAGAAACACCTCGAGGCAGCTCCTTGGACCGAAGCGGTAGCCCTCTTGACGGAGGTGCTGCGGTTCGTGAACCAGGCTGTGGACCTGTTGAGGGGTGCGAGCGAGAGAGACTTGTTGGCGGTGTTGCTGTCGAGCACGTCGGGGTTCCGGCTCATTCAGGACAGGTGTGTGAAGGGGCGCGTCGTTCAGTGTGCCGCTTCGTCAGGCTGATGCTTCTGCTCTCATCGTCGCTCGTGTTGTTGTCATTGTTGTTGTTGTTGTTGTTGTTGTTGTTGTTGTTGTTGTTGTTGTTGTTGTTGTTGTTGTTGTTGTTGTTGTTGTTGATGTTGGTCTTGCTGTTGTAATTTTTGGTGCAAACTGCTGTTGACGTTATGGCGATGTTCATTTGTGGTTCGATTCGGTTCGCTTATCTCATGAGATGGCGACACTGGCCAGTGCTATCTCGATCGTTGTCCTTGGCTCTTCATGTGATGTTGGTTGATGCTGCGTCCTGGCGTTTCGCTGCCGTCCATCGTTTACAGACTAGTTAGCTTGCGCTAGGTGTAGTGTAGGGTTCCTGCTGATTTGGTCGCCTTGGTTTGCTCCCTTGTTCGAAAATTCGCCCATCTCTAACGTGACGTATTCGTCTGCTTTCACTGTGTAGTGTGGTTGGTGATAGTCTATTGATGAAAAAGTGTTCTGCTGTGTCTATGTATGCATCTCCTTAAATGTTCTGTTGTGCTCTTTGTACGCACATCTTTCTTAGCTTTGGGGCGCACGAGCGGAGCTTCTTGTCTCTCGAGCTGCAGCCCCTACTGGAAACCCTAGGGGGCGTTACGAGTGCCGTGGAGAGGGGAGGGACGGCACCGGCGATGACCTTCACCCGGAGGATGGAAGAGGTAGACTACAGCATTAGACTAGTGCCAATTAGTTTTTGCCATCTGTTGGTGTATGTTGCCCTCGTGTGGCTCGAGGTTTGCGGCAGTACGCGCACGTTAACTCTAACCCCTAACCCCTAACACAACCCTTCCTGCTACGTACGGTAGGAGTAGGCGGTCGATAATTGCCTCGCCATAGTTTCTTTTTGCTTACTTGTACCCTGCAACAATAATGTGCTTGCCTCTTTTTTGTTTGTTTTCGTTCATCCGCCCGAGAATTTTCGACCAAAATCTCCGACATGTCTTGGGCTGGTCGTGGCACTGCTGTCTACGGGTATCGTCTTAGCCGTGGCAACTATTCAACTTCCACGTGGACAAGCAAAAGCACGGCGGCAGTACTATCGTGACCAAAGCAGGTGCTGCAGAAAGCCTAGACGCACTTGAGAACGCACTTTCCACACAACTGCAACACCTTGCTCCTTGACCTCTCTTGTCTTCGTTTCGCCCCCCAGATCTCCGACGTGTCTACGAAGGGCTTTGTGGTCGTGCAGCAGTCGGCGGGGCGGTGCACCGAGCTGACGGGAGGGTACCAAGGCCGAGACTTGCTGAGGGAGGCGGCGGAAGCTCTCTCGGCTTTCTTGAAGGTGCTCTCCTCTCCTCTCCCTTCCCCGCTCGTCACCGTTGTTGGTGGCGTTGCTTGACGCCCATGTCGGTTGCAGTGTTTGGTACTTGATCTTTTTGTGTAAAATCGCCCGCAATATTGCTTGCTTATCGGGAAATGGAGATGCGTCAGCTCTTTTTCTAAGGTGTCATCCGCACCGCAAGCAAATCTTGGTGCGTGTTCCCCCTTGTGGTGGTTTGTGGTTTTGTGTGCGCCGTTCTGTGGGCGTGTCGACCTTTTCTACCTCTGCCCCTCTTACTGTGCCCAGGGATGATGCTGGGCAACCCCCCTTACATCCGAGCCTGCGCTTCCCTTTGCTGTCCTAGTCTTGACCGGTTCTTTTCGAGATTTGTTGGTTGCTTGGGTTGCGTGTCGCAGGAAGCGTGGTGCCGCATTTCACTTTCCGCGTCGTGGCATTTCACCTGACCAGTGCACTTCTCCCCTCCCGCCCCCCATCCTTCCTGCAATCCTTGACCACCGTGTCATTCACTCTCCCCCACTTTCCTGTAATCCGGGTCTCTTCCAAGCAAGGCCGTAAGGGACGCGGCTCGACAGTCTCGTTCTTTTGGCAACCAACCGGCGACCGGACGGGGTGAGACGACCAGCCCCGCTTCGCCCGCGGCAGGCCGTTCACAAGGTGTTGGTTTGTTAGCTGTTGCGGAATTGCTGTGTCAAGTAGATGTTACTACTTTGTGGACGGTTTTGGGGGATTTTCCGTGACACTTGACCCGGGGGAGCCGTTGGGCTTGCCTACGGTGTAGGGAAAGCTGCGTCGCCTTGAGGGCGTTCGGAACGGTCGTAGGGAACAAGGAGAATAATAACATTCACTTACGACAACCTCGGGACAACAGCGACAACAAGCACGACACCCAGACGACGACGACAATAACAATCACAACTACCGCCGCCAGCATTACAACAGTGTGACTCCGCTTGTGTGTGTTTTGCCACAGGTTCGAATAAGCTGTTACCATGTTGCTTGACACCGAGCGACCGCGCTACACCGGAGAAACACAGCACTATAGAACGTACATGTAGAAAGAAAAGTAGACCAAGTATCAACTGCATTAGACATCATTGGTGGTACTGTACAACGTAGAGAGAAAAATAGACCAACTTACTAGACGTTGACCTGTACAGCGACTTCCGCTCTCTCTATCTCTGTGCGTGTTTTCTCCCTCTACCCCTTGCTCCCTCCCTCCCTATTCTGTCTGTCTGTCTGTTTGTCTCGGTCGCTCTCCTCTTTGGCTGCATGCAGACGAGGTGTTGGGTGTGGCTGCTGGTGTAGAAGAACAAGAGAACTACTTGGACGGAGGATTAGGAGGAGGAAACGGCGATTTCGACTGGCAGTACTTGCAGGGGGCGCTTGTTTTGCTCGGGGCTGCCGGTCGATGCCAACGGTGCTTCGCCGGGGTAGAAGAGGTGAGAAAAGGGTACAGCAGTACAGCAGAAAATTGTACGGCGAAAGGGTGCAACAAACGGCTCCAGCGAAACGGTACATCATGTTGGTACAAAGGCAGAACGACACTGCAATAGGGCACAGCAACACCATACAGCACTAGGGTACAGATAAGTACAGCGATACAACGATACAGCGACAGGGGTGCAGCAAAATAGTACGGGAGAATAGTCAGCAACAGAGGTTATTATACGGCATGCCAAACGATAGGGTGGCGAAGACAGAACAGTACGATGGATCAGTACAACAGTCTTTTGGGTTGGGGCTGAAGGTTGGCGGCAGAGTGGTACCGTGCAGAAGGCATGGTCGTCGCATGACTTGACTTCAATCGTCGCAGTGGGCCCCGTCAAGACTCTTTTAATTTCTGCTAAAGCCGTAAAGCTAATGAAATTCACTCCCACTCTCGCGCAACGTTTTGCGTACATGCCATGGTCTCAGCTTCCCCATCATCATCTAAGGATCGCATCTCGTTGTCGACTCTGAAGGCATTTTTTGTTCTCGCGATGATCGATACTGTATTGCACCTTGTCGTCGGGGACGATGAGATGAGAGGGCATCCATCCCCGGATCTGGTTGAATGATCAACAAGCCTCGGCAATTCGCCCGAACCCCACCCGTTCGCCAATAATAAGTCCGTACGAACGTGCTCTTTGACCATCTTTCTTGTCTCGGCTACGACAACGAACGTCATTGGTGACTTCTTCAGGAGTTTGCTTCGGCGCTCCTCCGAGATAGGATCGGCCTCTTCGCCTCTTCCGCTCCCCGCCTCTCCTCCCTAGCAATGCCCGCCAACTCCCCCCTCCCCAACACCAACGGAGGGAGAGGGGCGGGAACCGTTCCCGAGAACGGCGCCGCCCCACCCCCCGCCGCCGGTGGAGTGGCGGCGGCGGACGGCAGCAGCAGCAGCGAGGAGGGCAGGGTGGCCGTGCTGAGGAGCCTGCTTGCGAGGGTGAGGCTCGATGAGGACAGGACGGCGAGGGCGGAGACGAGGGCGAGCTTGATGGCGCTGGTTGAGCCGTCGGCGGCGGTTCCGGTGCGTGGCTGTGGTTGGTTGGCGTGGCGGCGGGGTGTCCTTGCGTTTGGTGTCGTTTCATGTGTCTGGCCGTTTTCACGAGTGGTCACGTCGTCTGACGGTCACGTGTTGTCGTCGTCGTTGTTGTTGTTGCTGTTGCTGTTTTCATTGCCGTCGTTGCTTTTGTCTTCACCTTGGGCGGTGCTTTTGCTTTTGTCTCTCCTGCCCACCTTTGTCGACGGCTGCATCTTAATCCTAGCTCCCTCGGTGCCGATGCCTTTAAACATGTTAAGCATGACGTAAACGTAATGATTAGTGATGTCTTGCAGTAAGGACGTTCGTTTCTTCCCGTGACGTGCTTCCGCTGTTTGTTGGTGGTACTGTATGGCAACGACGCCCCAAGACTGATGGCTGTATTCTGCGTGCCCACCCATCCACCCACTCACCCACCTTCCTGCATCCTACCTTACCCAATGGTACGTGTTTTGTGCTCCACGCCTCTTGTTTTGGTCACTGCTGTTTTTTTGCCGCTGGCAACTACCAAATCTATGGAATCTACGAAATGCTGGTATTTTACCAGGGAGACGTGCTGCCGGCGCCTGCGAGAGAAGTACGCGCGCTGGCGGCCGACGCCCGGTCTCTAGTCTTCGACGTCTGTTTCAAGCCAGTCACCGCGAGGCTAGACACGGTGCCGACCTTGGTGTCCTGGCAAGAGGAGCACGGGGGAGGGGGTGGGGGTGGGTGGGGCACGGACATGGGGGATGGCGCGGATGAGTACGATACCGTTCCGCAGGTGTACATGACGCAGGTATGACTGGCGCGGGAGGCGTGGGGGGCGTGTGTGTGTGTTTGGGCAGGCGATAGGCCTGGTGTTGAGGATACAATAGGTGGCAACTTGTGTGCGAGGAGGCGTGTTGCATTGGTTCCCGACGCGCAGGTCGGAAGGCGACATGCGCTAGAAATGCAAATACTGAAACCGCCGTTCAAAGAGAAATGGCACTTGTTCTCTAGAAGAGACAGCTTTTGGTACATAGCTCCCAAAATTTCATTTTTCCACGAAGAATTGCAGTTGACCGTCATGTACAATTTCTGCCCGAACCCGACAAGGTATTGTCTGTCGTGAACACCCACTTGCTCTAACAATTGGACTTTCGGGAATGTTGCACCGTTGCGCATTGCTGTCGTGCGCGTGAGTCAGGTGGGGGAACACCTGCTGAGCTTGCTGCAGAACCTGGAGCCCTTCGCGAACAGCGACGCTTTCCAAGATGCGGTGGAGCCCACGCAGGACCTGCACCTCCTCACAGAAGCAGCATGGAGGTAATGCTTTAGGCCTGGCCCCTCACCGTGATCCTCCGCTGAATATTGGAGTATTGATGCTGTATTGGGTGTACAAGAGTATGAGAGTCGGGCTTGGGGGGTGCTTGCACGAGATGTTTTTAGTGGCTTGGATCAATACCCGTTCACCCGGTTGGTCGTATCCGACTTAGTTGCTCCTTTCTTGGGGGGGGGGGAATCACCCTCCTCGTATCGCGTTCACGTTCCCCCTCCCCCTCTCCTTGCAGCATTCGAGCAGTTTGTGGGAAGAAAAAGCCGCTCTGTTTGTATTTCGGAGTACTTGGAACCAGTCCTTTTTTGGTGCGTACACCCTTTATATTTGGACCCTCTAGCGTCACGCCCAGTGGTTGGAAACCGACGGATATCCCCCCATACGCACAAGCCTTAACGTTTTGGGGGGCAAGGTCACGTGTCCCCGGCTACCACCCGATGGACCATGCCATGGGGCCATGGGGTGCCCCTTTGCGAAAATGTATTTGTAGGCTGAGATTGCTGCCGCCTTAAAGGACTGGTGAGTTGGTCCCTATCTTTCATCCGATCTACGCGTAAGACATGCATGGCGGTGATGTCGCCATTCTCTAACCTAACCCTGCTGGCGTCCGCATCGGCATTTTTGTCTGCAACAAGAGGTGCAGAGAGCACCACAATTACTTCACCTCTTTTTCGAGAACTCCCGGCGACATGCATGTGCGAAACGACAATGCCCCCCCGCCGCTTCCACCCCAGGGACTGCGGGCTAGCCTTGGATCTGGGAGAATCCGACCTCATGCTGCTGGAAACCTTGTCTGGCGCGAAAGCATCCACGGAGCCTCCGAAACACCGCTCTGCGTACAGTGACAATGCGGAGGGTGGCAACAATGATGAAGACGGAGAGGGGGAGGAGGAGGAGGAAGAGGGAGAAGCGGCCAAGTTCTGTACGGCGTGGTTACTGTGCGTCGGGAGCGCCACGGTCGGATGCTTGTTGGCCAAGGTGAGGTCGTTGCGGTGAAATCCGGCACGTTTCAAGACATTGCGGTGAAACATGGCCATGGAGGACACGGTGCAAGTACACTGGGGGTTGCGACGGTGGAAACGGTTTTGGTACATACAGATACGATGTGGAATTTTTACTCATTGGCAATGAAATGTTACGGCGTAGCCCTCAGGGTCTGCTAGGCTGTTGAAGATCTCCGTCAAGATGTTGACTGACGGGTCAGAGTCGAGGACAGAATGACCATGTAGCGTGACGTCATGAAACGAGGCCGTACTGGCTGTAACGGTAACACCTCCGCATTTGCGTTTGCTGCACTTGGCGAACTTTTGCCGGCCCGCCCACGCCAGAATGCTTCGTGTATCAGAAGAGTTGCCCGTAGTACGTGAAATATTTCCCCTTTCTGTTGTCTCTGGAAGTGCAAGCCATGACTCCCCCCCCCCCCACCCCCCCCCCCAAAAAATTTTGGCGGGGGCCCCCCCCCCGGTTTTTTTCCCCCCCCCACCCCCCGAGGAAAGGCAAAAACCCCCGGGGGGGGACCCTTAAAACCTTTTCAAAGGCCCCCCCCCCCTTGGATTCCCCCCCCCCCCTTTTTTGGAAAAAATTTACCCGGTGGGTGGTCCCCAGAGGGGAGGGGGGGCGACCCCTTTTGGAAAAGGAAAAATTGCCGGGGGAAAAAAAAAATTGGGGGGTTTTTTTTTTTTAAAAAAAAAAAGAGAACCCAAACCCCCTTCTGGGCTTTGGAAAATGGAGGGGGGGGAAAAAGTTTTTTTAGGGGGAAGGGGGTTTTGGT